CAAATAGGAGCAACAGCATAGAGGGGTTAGGCTTAGGTGACAAATGGGTTAAATGCTGTTAAAGCTTTGGGTACAAATGCGGGTTCTGTTAAAAATGAAATGAAATTGGGAATGGGGAAGATAAAAAGAAATCTGAAATAATTGTTCTGTAGAATATGGCCTTTCCACATAGACAGAAATCTTTCTCTTCACTTCTGCCTGAAGAGAGAGTCAAATAGAGAATCTCATCTCTTAATTAGAAAGAAAAATACTCATCAAACACATCTCATCACTGGAAAGCTAATGATCCACAGCTGCTAGTTTGAAAGGGCAGGCTTTTTTTTCCTGAACAGTAGGAAGTGTTAATCATTTTGGATGAGATTTCTTTTTAAAATATACTGTAGTTTGCAAAAGAATAGGATATTCAATATTCCAACTTAAATTATTTTTTGAAGTGTTGTACACCAGGGATAGTGTCATGTGTCTCTCTGAATGATCATTTAATGTATGTGTGTCTCACTGAGAGTAGCAACTGATATGATGTTGTAAATGGCCAGTTCGTGCCTGTGACTTTTAAAATCCTTGTCTCAAGAGGGAAAAGAGAAAAAAAATCCTTCCTTGTAGCATTCAGTGTAGGAATGGCAGCTATATTAAACTGTAACCTTTGGGACTCACATTCTTTCCTTTAAAGAAGTTGGTTGTTTCAGTAGTTGGGGGGGGGGGGGGGGGGGGCAGGGAAAATCCTTTCTTCTTTTTTTTTTTTAGCCTAAGTACACCCACTGTTTTTTTTATAAATATTTATTTATTTAATCTATTTCTATGCTGCCCTTCCCATACCATCATTCCAGATACAGTTTGTGTTCTATTGGATATTTTATAGGCATCGACAGTTCCCTGATTTTGATTTTTTCATCGTTCTTCCTTCCACTCCCTGGTCTTTTTTTTAATATATTAATGTTTATGAATTATTATATCATATTCCTTTCCCCTTTCTGGAATGCAGTGAAGCTAAAGCAAAAAAGCCCTCCAAACCCCTGCCCCAAGCAACCCCCTCCCCCTGCCCCCCCCCCCAAAAAAGCAGAGCTTTTTCTTGCTTAAATAGTTGTAAGATCCTTTGTGTCTGGCAGCTGACCAGTTTCCTTGCATTTTCTCCCCCTTCTGCACATAATTTTGGGGATTGCTGAGATATTCTGAAGGTACTGTCTACTACTGGAAATTTCTAGTTAGTGATATCTTTTATTTAACATGTATTTGTCTGCTGGGAAGAATAGAGAAGCAGTATGAGCTGCATTGCCAACACTATACAGATTTCACATAGATATACAGTTCATTTTCATTGCAAATATAGCATCCCTGCTTTCCTAGTGCCTGACTGAGACAGGTGCTTAAAAGAGAAATCAGTTGAAGTTCAGCCCAGGCTAGATGGAAATAATACTGGTTGGTCAGAGGAATTATCTAAAGGAGATGGCAGGTATAATATTGACTCTTTCTAGTCAAGGAGTATGTCTGTATTGTTAATGAGGTTTGCAGCCTGAGGCCACAGACACATGAATGGGATAACCTGTGGCAAGTCAAGCTTTCCCAATTTAAAAAAAAAGCAGGAAACACATGACAGAATCCCTGAAAGTGATGTAGCCTTGCTTCAGCAGTGGCAAATTTTATACCTGGACAAATTGAGGCAATTTTCTTATGCTTTCAAATGCCTGCCCTTCAAAGCACAGCTTGCTTGTTTCTCACACTTTCAAATGCACCACCTACTTGTTTGGGTGTAGCTGCCATGGTGACATTTGCTCCAGCATTTTGTTTTGAACCTGTCTTCTTTATTCCTGGGTTCAAAACCTCAGAGCCATTTTTTCTCCTTAGAATCAGAGGATATGTACAATCATTATATTTAAATCCACTTAACCATAGTTAGTTTGATCCAAATTCCTACCTGTGTATGCATTTGGGTGTTGGGATTTAAATTGCCCCCAAAATGGCAGGCCTGATCTCAATTAGTTCACTTGATATGTTACCTAATTTAGATTGGGAACGGGTTAATTTAGACTGTGAACAGGTTAACCCAGTCAATTGCACTTGCCGCAAACATAACTGGGCTATTTTTACCCTCTAACCTCCCAACTCTGGATGGATAGCTCCCTGTAGCAGGACACTAAGGTGCCTGCTACTCTCAGAGCAGACGCAGGAACCCAGGTGCCAGTTGCTGGGACAACTGGTTAAGGAGGGAATTGGCTGCACCTGCACCTGGTCAGCTGACCGGAAGGGGCAGGGCCTGGCTCCCACATAAATCCCAGGCCTGAGGCCAGGAGGGCAGTTTTCCCTGCTGGCAGCCAAGGGGGAAGGGAGCTCTGCCAGACAAGTGAAGGGGAGGGGCCTGACTGCTCGACCAGCTCCTTATGCTGTTAAGGGGCAGAGTATCCCCCAGTAGGGATTGAAGGATGTTTAGCCAAATGATGTTTTAGCCAGGTGGCTTGGATTTTTGTTATAGCCCAGGGGCTTGTGTTTTGTGTTTGCTGTTGTACTGGCGGTTTGGGTGAGGCTAATAGGGGATGGAGGAGGCCTCATAGGGGACCTGCAGCAGCGTGGGAACCCCAGCCCCATAGAGGGAGCAGCGAGAAGTCCCAGAGAGGGGGGCAGTGAGACAGAGCAAGACAGCGCTGTGGAAAGCCCAGGGAGGACAAGGGGAGGGCCAAATTGTAACGAGACCCAGATCAAACCACATCAGTATCATCCGCGAGGCTTGGGCTGTGGTGTAGGGGAGGAAAAGGAGCCGCAGATAGCATCCCCTGGCACCGGGGCAATAAATGGTCAGCTTCCTGCTAATTAACATCCATTAATTAATTAAGATCAAGGCATGGCAGGAGAGAAGGCAGGAGGTTGGCCCATCACAGGAGGGTGGGGTCACCGATAGGCGAACTCCAGAAGAGGCAGTCCTGTCACACTCCCCCATAGATCTGCCAGCCTCCCCCCCATGGATGTGTTAGCCCCTCTTCTAGTATTTCCTGCCTGCCTCAGCTCTCACCCCAAGCGACTTATACCAATTTCTCTGTGTGTCTCCCAGTAGCAGCAAATGCCTACACACAGCTCCCAGTCTATGCTCATGCAAGATAAAAGTAAGCCATGTGAATGTTGACCAGCCATGGTGAATAGCTGTACATGCCCAGAGGTTCTAGGATAATCAGTAGTGTTTTCTTTTATTGGCGTTTATCATTCCCCTCAGGTGTGGACTTCACCATAGCTCGCCACATCATTCTAACCTCCAAAGTCAGTTATTACAATCTGTTTGGGACTGCCCTTGAAAATCATCTTTCATCTGCATATTTCAGCTGATTCAGAATGTAGGACTCCTGTGCATTTGATGCTGTTCTGTATGCGGAATGGGCAGTTTAAATCCCCACACCCAAATGCCTGTACAGGTAGGAATTTGGATCAAACTAACTATGGTTAGGTGGATTTAAATATAATGATTGTACACTGGTCACCAGTTTGTTTCCAGGTGGATTTCAGGATGTTGTTTTTATTCTGTGAAGCCTTATGTGTTTTTGATTCTGACTTGTATGATTACTTCTTCCAGAATTAAAATTGAGGTGGAAGTGGGCAGACTGCATTCAGAGGCAGTCTTCAATGGCCAATCTATGAAGATGCTTTCCTTATCCGTTTGTTCATTTACTTTGAGACTGCCCTTCAAAGCCTGTCAATTCACTCGGGTCTTCTTGGGTGAAATAGAGTGTGGGGTTTTTTTTGAACTGTAGAGTCCTGTTTTAAGTGACTTATGTCAATCTTGTCAAATTACATTCCTGTAAATATCCCTCTCAAAATACACGTTAGTAAATCTCTAGAAGTCTTCTCTTTTACCTGTCTATAAATTCTATTAATCCTTGTATTTATGTTCAACGTTAATTCCAACAAATCTCCTTTTAAACAAAGCAAACTGAACAAGAAACATTTTGGTCAAATACAACATTAAATATCGGAAGTGCCAATAGCCTGTGTAAGCATCTTATCTCTCTCGACCCTGTTTGGTTTAAAAAAATCACGTTGATACCTGTATTCTAGGAAAACATACATACACAGAACATTCAGTGGTGTGAAGGGAGAAGGCAAATTAAGTCATATGATGCTGTGAATTATTTAAAATGTAGATTTCTAGTTAGTATTTGCACTAGTCTAGTATGATAGGTTTGTGTGTTTTGGTTCTGTTAAACACAAATCTTCAAGTCAGAAGATTATTAAAATCCTTTTTCAGTCCTTGTTCAAACCAATTTTTTGTCTTTAGATGATAAGGAGGGGTGAGATGAAACATTTATGTATTTTTTAATTTTCAGTCTTGTTTCGCGTTGGATTTATTATAGTTCTGGTATGTTGCACCTTTATGAAATTTACTAGGTACAGGAAAGATGGGGAAGCTTGAACCCATATTATATGTAAGCCATTAACAGTACTGCCATACTATCACAGTTTTATTTAAATTTTCTACACTTTTTAGTTATTTTTTCTCCTTTTCGTCATGACTTTAGTCCAATGCTTTAGTTCATGTTTCAGAAGTGTAACAGCTTTCAAATTTGCTGTTTTAATATTTGCATCATCTGTTTAAGTATATGATATTATTACACCAGTGAGAATAAAGTCCCTTGTTGTAAATAGCAGTTCACTCTTTCTCATTAAGAGAAATAACCCAAGCTTTTCCTGATTGTGTGGCAGTTTTATTTTTGTGCCATTTCTGCATTATTTTTCCCATCCTATCAATGACTTAACTGGAGAAGGACAATTAAAATTCCCTCTTGGGCAATTGAATATCAATTTTTCTTTCCCACAAATTAAGGTACAAAGCAGCTGTGTAATAGTTGGTTTACAGAGCTAAGTTTCACAGTCACTAAAGTGCTTAACCAAGTGTTCTTGTTGCCTATTTAGAGAGAGATTTTTTTTGTTTAAAATCTTTAAATGTACTGTTCTTGACTGTGCATGAAAGCTTATTTAGCATAATGCAGAATTGAATCATTTCTTTCTCTCTCGTCTTCTAGCTTTTTCTTTTTGTGGTTTGGAACTTTGAGATCTACGTGATACCACTGGCTTTGTTGTCGCTATTGGCTTGGAACTACTTCTTGATCATATCAGGGAAAGATAACAGGCAACATGATACAGTAAGTCTGTCCCTCTTCAAGCACATGCTTGTGCTTTTTTTTTTAATGCTAAGACAAGACTTTAAAACAGTTTGTTGCAGAAACTTAATTTCTTTATTAAAATACATCTTTTCAAAACCATTTCAGTTTATGATGCTTGATGGACAGTTCTTCCTATCCACATCAGAGCTTTTCTCCAACTGTTCAATAACCATTTCTATTTTTTGTTGAAACTATGACTTCAAAAATGCATTAGAGCATGCACTGTACTCTAAATCCTGCATGCGCACAATGATTTTACTGATCAGGAAAGAGCAAAAAAAAAAAAAAGAAAGAAAGCTGTTTTTTATGTTGAGCCTTATTGCTTGACACAACTTTTTTTGGCTACTGAAAATATAAGAACTTTGACTCTTCCAAAATTCTAAACAGATTTTAAAAAGTCCTGTCTTTTTAGAGTAATCTGTATATGCCACTCAGTAGTACATGCAACTCATTGAGGTTACCTGCTGCCTCTCCCAGTAATTCAGGCCATCCAAGTATTTGGCATATAAAGCAACAAAGTAATGTCAAAACAATAGTTTGTGTAACAAACAGTAAGAGCTAGATTTTCAAAAGTATGCCACCAAAGCATATATAATATGCTGTTCTTGTTGGCTCTATAGGTGTGCAAGTCTTCTAATATACACACAATACAGGGTTTCTACATGAAATTTATTTTGACCTGGGTGTCTCAAAACAGAGTATAATCCTGCAACTACCTTATCTGGTGACAATTAAGTTTGCTTTAAGTAAAGAAGATGTGCTGCCTAGAACAACCCATGGGCCAAATCTGGCCTGTGGAGCTGTTTTCTGAACTGCAGTGTTTCTAGAGGGGTCAGGAATTTGGGGGTGGAGTCTGTGCTGAATTCCCAGGCATGAGCCTGTTGGTGACGTGTATCCCCACTGCTACTCACTCTGCTGCCCCGCACCACACCAAGGCTACTGCTACATCCATATCCAGTCTGCAACTTACCCCCACAAGGAGGGGTAAGTTTGACACCCCTGGTCTAGGGTAATATATAATTTGTATTGTTTGGTGGCAAAGACAAAAGGAGCAAAATTGAGCCCAAGGGTGCTAAGTTTATAGAGAAAGCCCAAGAAATGAAAATAAAAGCAAAAGATATTCTTTCTTTAATGCTCATCTCATTTTAATACATCCATCTGCTTAAAACTGGGGTTTAAACCATTTCATCATGAAGATCCCACATGTAACTAAAATTTTTCATAAAAAAAGAAAGCTTAAACTAATGACTTGCTGCATTATTCAGTCTTTTCCTACCAAAAACAAAACCCACAATGAAGATAGTCTCAGAGCCATGTAACAGCCCAAATAAAGTAATGATTTGATACCTAAGCTGGTAAGGATGCTAGATGCCGCTCTCCTGAGTTTAATCTTCAGATCAAACTGAGTATCAGTCATGTCAACTGTAATAACGTTCTTCCTTAATATTATTCATGTTGTTAACTACTTGAGTTTAGATGGGATTTAGATGTGACCTCTTCCTTAGTGAATTAACTTTGAAGACCTAACATATCATTCTTTGGTTCTAAGGAAGCTGCAGAATTGTTAGATGCCTTTCAAATTGTCTTACATCTTTATAGATGGTGTTCTTAGTTGAGCAAACTAACATAGTATGTCAAAATTTGACTAAGATTCTTGATGAAATTTTGCCTTCTATATTACTGTTCAAAGTGTTGCTTCTGCTTAGATCAAGTCTGTGAAATCTAGAGATCTGGGTTCCATTTCCATCTGTGCCAGAAGCTGATCATGCACTCTTAGTGAAGTCACTTCTTAGTATTTGTGTTGAACTAGAAATAGCACCCATCTTTTGTGAATTGTTTTGTTCCTTAGTGTTAGATACACAATGGGCATGTCTACACGTGTGCTTTAATGTGCAGTAGCCTATTTTACTGCTCATTAGAGTGTCATGTCAAAAACCATGCTGATATGCTAATGCACAGTAAAATTAGGCTACTGCACACTTAAGTATCACTAAAAAAGCATGCACTTTCACTATTGTGCATTAGGGCAGCCTAATGCATGTTTATTTAGTACCTGAGGGTTCCTGTGTACGAGCATGGAGGCTACTCCCATGCACTGTAATTACAGCATGTTAGAGCAGACTTGATTAATGGAGTCTGCTGGAGCGTGGTAATTACCGCGCTCCAGCAGCCTCCTACGTCTTGTGCATCAGTGTCCTTGCACTTCAAAATAGCAGTGGGGGCACTTGAACTAAAACTTGTTCGACAAACTTTAGTTCAAGTGCCCCCGCCACCATTTGAAGCACAGAGACGCTGATACATGAGATACTGTGGCACTTTAATTAGAGCAGCACTCAGAGCTGCTCTAATTAAAGCACCACCTGCTGCCCACCCCTGGAGCACATGTTAAAGGGCCCTCACATTACAGGTACTAAATTTAATGAGCAGTAGCAAAATTGCATTAATGAACTTGCAGATGCACCCTATAATAGCAAAACATAAATATATTATTAAATAGAATACCATGACTCACAGCATATGGACTTGTATTAGATTAAAAATGGACTTTTTCATTAATATTAGGTAAGATTAAAGATGATAGACAAAATGGGAACCTTGAAAAGTAGCTTTTGAAGACTTCCTTTCCATTATAATGCCCCTAATAAATCTCATTGACTAATCCAGGGGTGCTAATACTTTGAGCCCACAAGCCAGATCCAGCCCACAGTGTTGTATCATTCAGACTCCCCACAGATCCAAAAATTTGGCAGCAAGGGAGCAGTGGCACTGCTCCTCTGCTGCTAAATTTTCAGACCCATGGGGAGTCCAGCTTGCTGGATAGCATGGCCCTGCATGTTAGATGGGGCAGTGTGGCACCTGATCCCGGTGCGTGGGGGCCAGCGAAGGTTACATGGGGACCCCGAGCCCAAAGCTGGTATGTGGAGCTGGGCGGGAATGGCGCAGGACCACCGGGCCTAGTCATGGTGCATGTGGCTTGTTTCTAGCATGTAAGGGCTGGGCAGAGGCAGCGTGGTGCATAATCCTGGTGCATGGGGCCTGATGTGGCCCATGTACTGACTGCACACCATTTATCTGACCTGCAGGACCAAAAGGTTGAGCGCCACTGACTATCAATTGAAGCGTTATAGACTGTACTCTACTGCCAATCAATGAAATCATTAACAGAGCTGCTGTCTGGATATGACAGATGAACTATCCCTTATTCATCCTTGTTTGAATATCTTTACAGGTGCCAAACCCTCTCAGGTGCCAAAAAGTTTAGAAGTATTTTGGAATTTATTTTGTTGTGGCACAGGTCTTCCTCCTTCTGTCATCTAGTCTTAAGAATTTTGTGTCAACATTAGTTGATCTCTAAGGCCACATCCAGATAGTGAGACTCTGCAGTATGTGGTGCCACAGGCACATCTGTGGTACCACCTACTGCACATTCAGCTGCACATTCAGCTGTTCTCTGTGCTGCAAGGTAACAGCGGGGGTCAGGTTAAGTAGCAACCTGCTATTTAACATATACAAACCACAAACCCATTATAACTTAAGCTGTAAACACTAAGCTATGTAGGATGCTTATTTTTTATAATAGATATTCACCTACTTTCATGTCACGCATGGCATCATCTTTCTGGGTTGTCTAATGGTATCACTTACATTCAGTAGACAAAAACAAACCTATCCAGCAGTGCTTCCCCAGCTCTACCCTTTGCTTACCCTAACACCTTGATTGATTAGTTTGTTATCCTATGACAGTTGTAAAAAATTTCAGAGTTCCTGAGCCCTAAAACTGAACAAGGAATTTTTTTCTTGATACTTCAATGGCAGGGCTGGAGCTAGATGTTCTTGGTGCTTTTGGTGAAATCCATGTGGTTATATTTCATCCACACCAACTACCAACTGATTATATTTCATCCACACCAACTACCAACTGATCATATTTCATCCACACCAACTACCACTTCATTACCAACTACCCTCAGCTTCATCTGTTTTACAAAGTTTTGTTTTTAAATAACATTCATCCACTAAGCCTATGGAAATACCTGTGTTGGAATCCTTGGTCAGTTAATGACACTTCTTTCTAATTACCTCTCACCTAAGATGAGAAAAGAGGCATGATTTTAGTGTGTTCCTTTGTTCTTGTCAAGTATCAGATCAGTAACTAATTTTCTTCATGGATCCTTGGCATCTCTTCAAAATCAGGAGCCTAGAGAGGGCTCCTGATTGCAACCTCAGTGCTCATGTAAGCACTGAGGCTGCAAAGCAGAAGAACAGGGAACATTAAGTAAAGTTGGCATCAGGAAGGTAGCTTTCTGGAAAACTGGAACAGGAGCCACTGGGGAGGGGGGCAGAGGGACACAGTCTGCAAGGCACTATCCCTTTGGGAACTTGGGTGTTTAGTACTGTTATCACCATGCAGATATCAATGGCCAAGAGACTACTTCTTCATAGATTTCTTGACCAGAACTCCCACCCCACCCTCATTGCTGGCTACTACCCCACCATCATTGTTGGTATTCATGACCTACTGGAAACTGTTGTTACCCCGGGTTTCTTACAGTCACCTCTACAGGCATACCTCTTCCTGTTTGCCTCATTGGCTTCCTTCACTGACTGTCCCACTCACACCCATGCCAGCTTTGGCCAGGTTTGCTCTCCAGAGTGGCACTTAAGCAACTTCACTGATCCCTCAATTCATACAAATCAAGGTCAGAGTATTAGGAGAAGAACTGGGAGTTAGAAGAATTGTCCTCTTGCAGAGAAAGGGATCTCAGTAGTAGCCACACTTCCTGAATTACATTGTAGGAGAGTCAAGTTCACAGGGACATCCAGAAGAGTGGGCCTAGACTGCTACAAAGCCTCCAAGGAATAATGGATTATCCTGATTAGCAGAACTTTTTGCACAGTGAGATAAGTACAGACAGTCAAAAATCCCAAGGCTGAATCGATTCAATCTTTGCAGGTTAATCTAAACTGTATAGATTGAA